AGAATCTGAAGGAATCTGAGAAAATCGAAGAGAATCTGAGATATTTCGAAGATTCTGGGAGAATCTGAAAGAGTTTCAAAGAATTTGAAGTAATCTGAAAGAATTTGAGAGAATCTAAATGTATCTGAACGAATCTAAGACAATATGACAGACTCTGAAGGAATTTGAAGAATCTGAATGGAAATTTGAAGGAATCAGAGAGAATCTGAAGGAAATTGAGAGAATCTGAAAGAATTTCAAACAATCTAAATGAATCTAAAATGATCTAAGAGAATATGAGATAATATGAAATAATATGAACGAATCTAAAGCAATCTGAGAGAATCAGAAAAAACTTGTCTGAGTCTGAGAGGATCTAAGAGAATCTGAAAGACTCTGAGAGATTCTCAGAGATTATGAGAAAATCCGAAAGAATTTCAAAGAATCTGAAAAAATCTGAAAGAATCTGAAGGAACCTGAGGGAACATGAAAGAATTTGAAGGAATCTGAAAAAATCTGAATGAATCTAAAAGAACCTCACAAAATCTGAGATCATCTGAAAGAATTCGAAGTTTTGTTTACTCTTCTGTTATTTCTTTCTGGTCCTACGCCTCTTACTCAAGTTATTTTCGGAAAGAATATGTGATATGTAATATGATAGGATCTAAAGTAATTTGAGATAATTTGAAGAAATCTGAGATAATCTGAAGTTAACTGAGAGAATCTGAAAGAATTTGAGAAAATATGAAATAATATGAACGAATCTGAATGAATCTGAAGCAACCTTAGAGAAAATCGCAAAGAATTTCAAAGAATCGGACAGAATCTGAATAAATCTGAGGTAACACGAAAGAAACTCAAAGAATCTAAAAGAACAAAAAATAATTTATAGGTATAGGTAATAATAGAAAAGAATCTGCAGGAATCTGAGAAAATCTAAGAGAATGTGAGAAATCTGACGGAATCTGGAGAATCTAAGAGAATTTGAAGGAATCTGAGAATATCTCAATATATTTTATAGAATCTGAATGAATCTGAAAGAATATGAAATGATCTAAAAGAATATGAGACAATATGAAATAATCTGAAAGAATCTGAGACAATATGAAATAATCTGAAAGAATCTGAAGGAATTTGTGCTAGTTTGATAGATTCTGAGAGAATGTGAATTAATTTCAAAGAATTTGAAGAGAATCTGAAGGAATCTGAGATAATCTGAGTGAGTTTTACAGAATCTGCATGAATCTAAAAGAATATGAAATGATCTAAAAGAATTTGAGACAATATGAAATAATCTGAAGGAATCTGAGCGAGTTTGATAGATTTTGAGAGAATCTGAATTTGAGCAAATCTAAGAGAGTTTGAAAGAATCTGGGAGGTTCTGAGAGAATCTGAAGGAATTTCAAAGAATTTGAGGAAATCTAAAAGAGTCTGAGAGAGTCTGAGAAAATCGGATGCGAATTTAAGAGAATCTGAACGAATCTGGAGAACCTAAGAGAATCTAAAAAAATTCGAGAGAAGCTGAATGATTCTGAAAGAATTTTAAAGAAACTGAATAAATCTGACTGAATATGAAATAATTTGAAAGAATCTGAGCCAGTTTGATATACATATTTCGAGAGAATCTAAGAGAATATGAGAGAATCTGAAGGAATTTGGACAATCTAACAGATACTAAAGGAATCTGAGATAATCTGAATTAATTTTATAGAATCTGAATGAATCTGAAAAAATATAAAGTAATGTAAAAGATTATGACACAATATGAAATAATTTGAAAAAATATTAAGGAATCTGAGCCAGTTTGATAGATTCTGAGAGAATCTGATTGAATCTAAAGCAGTTTGAAAGAATCTGAGGGAATCTGAGAGAATATGAAAAATTTTTTTTAAGAATTTAAAGGAATCTGAAAGAATTTGAGAGAATCTAAAAGAGTCTGAGAGAGTCTGAGAAAATCTAAGAAAATCTGAAAGCATCTGAATGGATCTGAGCGAGTCTGATAGATTTTGAGAAGATCTGAATGAATCTGAAGCATTCTGAGAGAGTCTGAGGGAATCGGAGAGAAACTGAAGGGATTTGAGGGAGCATGAAAGAAACTCAAATAATCTAAGAGAATTTGAAAAAATTTGAAAGAATCTAAAAAGTTTCACAGAATCTGAACGCATCTGAAGGAATCTGAAATTTTGTTTACTTTTTTGTTATTTCTTTTATCAGGATTTCTGGAATTCTTTCTAGTCATCGGCCTGTTATTCAAGTTATTTTCAGAAAGAATATCAGATATGTAACTTGAAATAATATGAAAGAATCTGAGGAAATTTGAAGGAATCAGAGAGAATTTGAATTAATCTAAAGCCGTTTGAGAGAATCGGAGAGAATTTGAACGAATTTGAGAAAATCTAAGAGAATCTGAAAGAATCTAAGAGAGTCTAAGAGAATATAGGGGATTCTGTGAGAACCTCAAAGAATGTCAAAGAATCTGACGGTATCTGAAGGAATCTGAGAGAATCTAAGAGAATCTGAAGGAATCTGAGAAAATCGAAGAGAATCAGAAGGAATTTGAGTTATTCTGGAAGATTCTGAGAGAATCTGAAAGAATTTTAGAGAAACTAAGAGAGTCTGAAAGCATCTGGGAGATTCTGAGAGAATCTGGGAGATTTTGAGAAAATCTGAAAGAAATTCAAACAATTTGAGGGAATCTGAGAAAATCTAAGAGAATTTGAAGATATCTGGCTAATCGAAAAGAATCTGAAGGAATCTGAGAGAATCTGAAAGAATCGCAAGGAATCTGAGCGAGTTTTGGTAGATTCTAAGAGAATCTGAATAAATCTAAAGGAGTTTGACAGAATTGGGGAGAATCTGAAGGAATCTGAGAAAATCGAAGAGAATCTGCAGGAATTTGAGAGAATCTGGGAGATTCTGAAATATTCTGAGAGAATCTGAAAGAATTTGAATGAATCCGAAAGAATCTGAGAGAATCTAAAAGGATCTGAGCAAATCAAATCTAAGAAAACCTAAGAGAATTTGAGAGAATCTGAAGGAATCTGTAGAGCCTAAGAGAATCTGAATGAATTTGGAGAATCTAAGAGATACTGAAGGAATCTGAGAGAATCTAAATGAATTTTATAGAATCTGAATGAATCTGAAAGAATATGAAATAATCTAAAAGAATATGAAACAATATGAAGTAATTTGAAAGAATCTGAAGAAATCTGAGCCAGTTTGATAGATTCTGAGAGAATCTGAATGAATTTGAAGCAGTTTGAGAGAGTCTGAAAGAATCTGAGAAAATCTAAGAGAATCTGAGGGAATTTGAGAGAAACTAAGAGAGTCTGAAAGAATCTGAGAGAATCTGGGAGGTTCTGAGAGAATCTGAAAGAATTTGAGGGAATCTGAAGGAATCTGAGAAAATCTAAGAGAATCTGAAGAAATCTGGAGAATCTAAAAGAATCTGAACGAACTAATTTTATAAAATCTGAATGAATCTAAGGCAATTTGAGAGAATCCGGGAAAATCTGAAGGAATCTGAAAAAATCGAAGAGAATACGAAGGAATCTCCCACATTCTTTTAATTCCTATTTTAATGCATATTCTTCCAGATCTGTTCATATTTTTTTCGATTCATTCAAATTCTTTCAGTATTCTATCAGATTCTTGCAGATTGTTTCATACTACATATCTTATATTCTTTCAGAAAATAACTTGAATAAGAGCCTTAGGACTAAAAAGAATTCCAGAAATTCTTGTAAAAAGAACAACAAGAAAACTTCAAATTCTTTCAGGTACCTTGAGATTATTGTATATTCTTTTAGATTCTTTGAGTTTCTTTCGTGCTCCTTCAGATTCATTCAGAGGCTTTCAGATTTTCTCTGATTATCTCAGATTGCTGCAGATTCATTCAGATTCGTTCATATTATTTTATAAAATCTGAATGAATCTGAAAGAATCTCAAGGAATCTGAAAAAATTTAAGAGAATACGAAGGAATCTGGGAGATTCCGAAGGAATCTGGGAGATTCTGAAAGATTCTGAGAGAATCTGAAAGAATTTCAAAGAATTTGAAGAAATCTGAAAAAAATCTGAGAGAAGCTAAGAGAATCTGAATAGATCTAAGAAAATCTAAGAGAATCTGAACCTGGGAGATTCTGAGAGAATCTGAAAGAATTTCAAAGAATTTGAAATGTTCTTCTTTCTCTCTATTCTTCCAATTCAAACATTGTAATCATACACATCTAAGTATTCTTTCTTACATATGTCAAAAAACAGATTTTATCAAGAAACAAAAAACAAAACAAAAAAATGCAGGTAATTTTTTTTTTATTTTGAGATTTTTATTTTATTTTTCGAAATTTATAATCTTTATTCTTCTTATTTGCATGTTAATTTCCGAAATCAATTGATTTTTATTTTCCTGAGTTTTCATACTTCGTTTATTTTTATTTTCAATTTCTCGATCTTTTTAACATTATTGTATTATTTTTGTTGGTTTTATATATAAATTTGGGTTAAATTTTGTAGTTTGTTAGATTTTGCATTAATTCTCTCTGTATTTTCTTATTTTATCTTGTATACCTACTTTTCAAAAAATTTTCCTTCTTCATTTTTGGCTGAAACTTGTGAAAAAATAACAAACATGATTTCAACCAATTCCAGTAATGTTGGAACCGAAAGCCCGTACAAAACCGACATTTAACTTCCTCAAGTATCCACCTCGGGGTCAATGTTATCCCTCCACAATAAATATTCCCCGCCGAACTCGGCCCGAAATCCTTTCCCCGACCGTACCCGCAACCATTATCATTTCAACAACCTCCCTCCCATAAACCATCGCCATCCTCGCCCATCGGCATACATAATTCCCGAGAAACTCATCTCTCTCGAAAGCGCCGCTTAAAATGCGCCACCTCTCACATCCTGTCGGATCTTTGACTTCCTCTACCGTCTCTCGCCGGCCCATTACCATGCCGGTCGTGTCCCATCTGGGCACTTTTACCATTCACGCTGTTTACCTGCTTCTGTCCGCAGATAACCCGTCGTACTTCTCGCTGGCCGCCGAGGCGGCCCCAGTCAGCCACAAGAAGCCCCACAGGATGGGCACCAGCGACAGCGAGTGCTCCCTGAGCCGGACCTCCACGCCGCCGAAAGGCCAGAGGAGGCTGCGCAGCTTCCTGCGCTCGGTCAGCTCGAACTCGGCCGACTCCAACCAGGAGCTGCTGATCATGGGCGAGCCCAGGCTGTCGGACATCGCGCCCGACCTGGCCTTCAAGCACCAGAGCAGGTCCAACTCGCTGAAGAGCCGCGACGGGCACGGGGAGGTGGTGTACAACCTGGTGCCCACGGAGGAGGAGGAGGATGGGGAGGCGTCCGGGGACGAGGTCAGATTTTTCGCCTAACTATAATTAGTTAAAATAGCTACCGGTTCTTATTTAGCTATAATTGATAGTTAAAATTTATAGTTAAAATTTGGCGTGTTTTCAGGTGTTCCTCACCGAGGACACCGCCACCTACTACAACTACTCCCCGGGGAAGGCGTCCACGCAGCGCCGCCACTCCATCGGCACCTTCATCAACCGCGAGCGCTCCTCCAGCATGGCCTCCTCCTTCAAGGAGGACCTGCCCCAGGCCATCGTGCACGCCACCTCCGACGGGGAGGCGACCTCTTCGCTGTTCGACGACCATTCCCTGCGTCACGCGTCGTACCCCAGGAAGCGGTGTCCTCGCTGCACTCGAGGTGAGTAATTTACCAATGTACAGTGATTCGATAATAGAGACAATGATGTCGTTGTACAATTTAAGATGGTGGCTCGAATAATGGCTTCTTTGAAGAGAGTTAGTGTGTGTGAAGAGGGGGATTTGTGGAAACAATGAGCGCTTGTTGGGGTGACGATGATTGCTCGAAGAGTGCTCTGGGAGGTCTGTTTGTTAGGAGATGATTTACGTTTTGTGCGGCTGGATGAGGGCGATAAGCGAGCGCAGCGAGCTGCGGTTAATTTATGGCGGATCGATGTGTTTTTGGGTTTTAATTTAAGGCGAACTGATTCGGTTCCGTTAAGATATTCATCTTCGTGCGGAGCTGAAATTACACAGCGCTGGAATTCATTAACTTCGACTCTGTTTTCTGTTTCATTGAGTCACTTAGGCCATAAATATTTACGCACATACATCTGCTTTCGATAATATTTAGAAGAAAAATGCTTTTTCGTGCATGAGGTTGTAATCTGATTTTTTTATTTGGTTTTGTGGTCACCGATTATTAACATATTTTGTCCTTGGAAATTAGGTTCTGATTTCTTAATTTTACTATAAAAGGTCATAGTTTAGCCCATCGCAGTTTTTTTCTTCTGTTTACAATTATGTACTTGTTTGGGTACTTTATAGTAATTAAAGAATAAAAAATAAAAAAAATTACATGAGACTTTGATAATAATTTTATTAATTTCTTAAAATAAGATTCTGAACAGAGTTTAATAATAAATCGTAACCATTTCTTTATAGTTGGCCTAGTCATCAGGTCATTAATGATTTTTAACCTTGGCTAACATATTTTTGCTCAATTCTATCTAATAAGAATGACTGGTCAGTTAATTATAATTAATATGTCGAGTGGATTTAATTTATCATTAGCAGTCATTTATCTCTGGAATTAGTTTAACAGAATTGGGTTACGTTTAAGAAACGTACAATTACCCAATAAAGCGTTAATACTTTCCAATTAACTATAATTGATAGTTAAATTTTTTTATCCATAGCTAACATATTTTTGCTAAAATCATGCTGGTTGATTATTTAATTAGTAGATGGGGTGGACTTGATTTAGTATCCCCAACCATTTATCTCTGGAATTAGTTTAACAGAAATTGGTTGCTTTTAAGAAATTAAGACCCGGTTTATAGAAAGCGATGTTAAAGTTAATTCTCGATTAACTTTTAATTGAGGTCCGTTGCTAGGTAACGTGCCAGTTCTAACCAATCACGGGCTCATATTCCACATTTTAATCCTGTGTTAAATTAATCGAGGATTAAATATTTAATTCGCCTTTCTATAAACCGGCCCTAAGAATAATAATTAGCCAATAAACAGTTAATAATTTCTGTTTAACTATAATTAGTAGGGAAAAATTTGTCCTGTATGTATAGGTGATGATATAATTTTTTATTATTTCCCATTGCCAATATGTTTTTACTAAAATCTGGCCCATAAAAATGAAGAAATTATGCTGGTTGATTAACTATAAATAGTATATCAGGTGGATTTGATTTAGTATTTGTTGTAATTTACCTTGGGAGTTAGTTTAACAGAAAAGGCTTATTTTTAAGAAATAGTATACAGTTAGTCAATAAATAGTTCATATTTTCTAATTAACTATAACTGATAGTTAAAAATTTGCTTTGGCTGTTCCAGTGATAATATAATTACTGATTTTTATCCATAGCTAGCATATTTTTGCTAAAATTTAATCCATAAATAAAAAGTCGTGGTAGTTGATTAACTATAATTACTATATAGGGTGGATTTGATTTACAATTCGCAATCATTGATCTTTGGAATTGGTTTAATAGAAATATGTTAGTTTTAAGAAATATTGTACAAACAGCCAATAGATGGTTCACATGTTTTGTTTAACTATAATTGTTACTTAAAAATTTTGCCCTGATTGTCGCAGTAATGATATAGTTTTTATTTTAACCCACAGCTAACTATTTTTGCAAAAATCCAATCCATATAAATGCAGAAATAATGTTGGTCGATTAACTATAACTAGTAGATCCGGCAGAGAATTGATTTAGTATCCATAGTCAATTATCTCTGGAATTAGTTTAACAGAAATTGGTTACTTTTAAGAAACACTGAACAATTATTCAATAAACATTGAATGTTTTTTAACTATAATTAGTACTGAGAAATTTGCTTTGATGGTATCGGCGATGTTTCTACTAAAATCTAGCCCATTAAAATGAAGAAATTATGCTGGTTGATTAACTATAAATAGTATATCAGGTGGATTTGATACAGTAATCGCAGTCATTCATATCCGGAGTTGGTTTAACAGAAAAGTTTTATTTTTAAGAAATAGTATCCAGTTAGTCAATAAACAGTTCATATTTTCTAATTAACTATAACTGATACTTAAAAATTTGCTTTGGCTGTTCCAGTGATAATATAATTATTGATAAAAATGAATATAATAATAATCAATAATTGGGTAAAAACCCAGCTAGCATATTTTTGCTAAAATCTAGTCCATAAATTAAGAATTCGTGTTAGTTGATTAACTATAATTACTATATCGGGCGGATTTGATGTTCAATTCGCAATCATTTATCTTTGGAATTGGTTTAATAGAAATATGTTACTCTTAAGAAATACTGTACAAACAGCCAATAGACGGTCCATATTTTCTGTTTAACTATAATTGTTACTTAAAAATTTTACACTGATTGTCTCAGTGATTATATAATTTTTTATTTTGACCTGTAGTTAACATATTTAGCAAAAATCCAGCCCATATAAAAGCAGAAATCATGTTGGTGGATTAACTATAATTGGTACATCGGGTAAAGATTTGATTTAGTATCCATAGTCATTTATCTCTGGAATCAGTTTAACAGAAATTGGTTGCTTTTAAGAAATACTGAACTATTATTCAATAAACATTGAAATTTTTTTAACTATAATTAGTAGTGAAAAATTTGTTTTCACAGTGTCGGCGATGATATAATTTTTTATTATTTATTACCCATAGCCAATATGTTTTTACTAGAATCTAGCCCATAAAAATGAAGAAATTATGCTGGTTGATTAACTATAAATAGTATATCAGGTGGATTTGATATAGTAATCGCACTCATTCATATACGGAGTTAGTTTAACGAAAAAAGCTTATTTTTAAGAAATAGTATACAGTTAGTCAATTAACAGCTCATATTTTCTAATTAACTATAACTGATAGTTAAAAATTTGCTTGATAATATAATTATTGATTTTTACCCATAGCTAGCATATTTTTGCTAAAATCTAGTCCGTAAATTAAGAAGTTGTGCTAGTTGATTAACTATAATTGCTATATTGGCTGGATTTGATTTACAATTCGCAATAATTTATCTTTGGAATTGGTTTAACAGAAATATGTTACTTTTAAGAAATAGATAATACACAGTTCATATTTTCTGTTTAACTATAATAGTTACTTAAAAATTTTGCCCTAGTTGTTTCAGTGATGATATAATTTTGTATTTTTACCCATAGCTAATATATTTTTGCCAAAGTATAACCAAGGAAAATTAACAAATCGTCCTGGTTGATTAACTATAATAATCAGTGTATCGGGTGGAGTTAACAAAAATGGATAAGTGACAGTTGAAAATGTGTTTCAGTGATGATATCATTTTTTTCAGTTTTACCCATAACTGACATATTTTGCTAAAATCTAGTCTATAAAGATAACAAATTAACTATAATTTTATTAGTATATTGGGTGGCTCCGATTTAGTACTCGCAATGATTTATCTCTGAAAGTAGTTTAACACAAATTGGTTACTTTTAGGCAATGCTGTACAATTACCCAACAAATAGTTAATATTTTCTATTTGTCTATAATTGATAGTTAGAAATTTGCTCCAGCTGTTTCAGTAATGATACATTTTTTACTTTTTCCATAGCTAACACATTTTTTCTAAAATCTAGTCCACAAAAATGAAAATATCATGCTGGTCGATTAACTATAATTGATATATTGAGAGAATTTAATTTAGTGTTCGCAGTCATTCATCTCCGGAGTTCGTTTAACAAAAATGGGTTATTTTTAAGAACTACTGTACATTTAACCAATGAACAGTTGATATTTTCTGTTTAACCATAATTGATAGTTAAAAATTTGCTTTTTTTCCTGATTACAATAGTAACATAAGTATTTATTTTAATTTTCATGTGTCATTAAAAAAGAAAAAAAAAATTTCGAGAGAATTTCATATTTTTTAAATATAACTAAAATATGAAAAAGGTAAATCTTAATCAGGTATCAAATTGATCCTACACTTGCAAAACTTTATTCTTAACTAAAATTTTAGCTATAACCTACTGATGATATTTAAAAATTGTTGTGTTGCATACAACCATGATTGTAACTTTAAAAGGCGTATTAGAAAAACATTTAAATGTAAAAAAAGAATAAAAAATACCGTAAACAGTTAATTTTTCGTGTTTAACTATAATTGATAGTTAAAAATGCGCTGTGCTGTTTCATGAATGATTATTATATAATTTTTACTTACAATTAAAATCAACCCAACAAAATGAAAAATAATCCTGCTTGATTAACTATAATTAGTATACTGGGTGATTCATATTGGTTTTCGCACGAAAAACACAAAATGAAGATACAGAATTTGAAATTTTTGTTCCAAGAATTATTTTGTAACTAAAATGTGAAACTGAACGACCGACCACCGAATTCACACTACTCAGATCTGTCTTGGCCTGAGTGCTGCAGTAAACCGTTCTATCCGATATTAAATTGCTACAACACCTAGTCGCAAAATCGAATCAATCAATCCCAGCAGCTCTTAAGATTCCGCAAGAAACCTCTAAACAGCGAAACACAAAATACACTTCTCCGGAATCGATTAATTACACCCATCTTCATCACTTCCGGCACTTTTATTGGCTCCAATAGTCCCTCAATTGCCTCCTCAATTACATAACGCGCTTCTTATTTGGCGCTAATAGCCGAAG